GTAAATAATAATAATAATAATAATAATAATAATAATAATAATAATAATAATAATAATAGAATGGTAATATAATATTAGCAATAATAGTAATAATGACAATAATAATAATAATGTTACAAAACAATAATAATATTAATAATAATAAAGACAATATAATAAGTACAATAATATTAATAAAGGTAATAAAGTCGCCGATAATAGATATAATACATTGTACATAGGATCGAGCTAGAGTTTATAGGTACTAGCTTCTTCATTATATTACTTAACTAAATATTCTCAAGTAGTCTTAGATATTGATATATAACAGTGTTTCGAATATCAATATTTTTAAATATGTACATACAGGATCATCGAAGTTGCCAGTTCTCCTTACGTACCAAGAAAATCGATGCATTTTAAAAAGAAGACGCGTCGGTCCCATTGACGCGTTCTTACGAAGCGACGTCGTGTAATGTACAAAAAGACTCCTTCCTAATTTGTCCCTAATAATATATAGTTACATACACGGCGAGTTGCAGATTTTCATAATATTTATATATATATATATATTATGTTATACAATATGTATATATATCTATTATTAAATAAATAATCTTCAAATGCGATAATAAAGTCACGAACTAGCGTTCGTTATCTTATTTATAATATTTATATTCTTTGTATTTGCATTTCTTTTTATATTTATATATATATATTTATATATTTATATTTATATATTCTTTATCTGTATGTATATGTATATGTATATATATGTGTATATATATATATATATATATATATGCAGCTTTATATTTATATGTGTGTCTTTTTTTCTCGTTATTTATAAACTATATTTATAGAGATACATGTAATTTAAATAGCTGTGTGTGTACTGAGACTCGCAGACTGGTAACCATTCGTTCATTTTTTTATAGAGTTAAACGCGGAGTAGGATTTCTCGTTGAATATCTTCTTTCTTTATACTATATACGTTTGTTATACTCGTTTGTTGTTCTCGCGTCATCTGGACGTCGCTTTCTCGTTGCGTCCAATCCTCACAATTATGTGTCCCCTCTTCCTCGAACTAGTCGAAATTCCAGCTTCGCCAGATTTATCATCTTCGCTAGATTTCTCGATGTTTTTTTCTTTTTACACAATTCGACTAGACCTTTTCCAGGCCGTTTGGAAGTTCTCGACATCACGCATCGACCTACCACCTCTCCTAATCCCGAGAGGTGACCTCGGACATTTTCGTGTCGAGAGATCCTTCTGAGTTGCACCGTTGTGATCTCGACTCGTGAGATCAACTCGGCCTTTGCGCAATTCAGGAATATTCGTAACGTCTCTCCTTATCTCGAGGTCCCTGAAGGGGAAGATCCCTCATCTTCAGTATACCGGATAAGGCGGCCTATGCGGCCACAGCGGCGGGATCGGCGGTAGGCTTCCGTTCCAAGATCAAGTATCCTTACTGCTAAGTGAAGAATCCTCATCCTTGATCACTGGATATGGTATTTCCAGCTTGGGACCCTGCTGCACTACCACTACGCACTTCCTCATGTGCTTCTCCAACGTGCTCGGTACTGAGAACGGCATCTCGCAAAAGCGGCATTTGTACGTATCCTTGCCGTGTCGGCCGTGAGTCTTCATGTGCCTGGTCAGCTTCGAGCTCTGGGCGCATGCGTACGAGCAGAGCTCGCATTTGTACGGCTTCTCGCCGGTGTGCGACCGCCTGTGCACCGTTAGATTCGAGCAGTTTTTGAAAACCTTACCGCAATACTCGCAAGTGTCATTTCGGCCGCTCCGCTCCTTCTTCAGCAACGGGCTCGGCAAACCCTGAAGCGCCAAAGTGGACGTCGTGGCCTTGGACGCTTTACGAAATTCGTTGTTCTCCAAGTAGTGCGGATTAGGTAACCAAAGGCCCCCGAAATCGGGCCCCGAGGATCTAGGAAATCCCTGGCCGGAGAATATATTCGGCGTTGTCGAGGAGTTAAAATTTGTGGGCGAGAGAGCGCTCTCCTTCTCCTTGTTATTATTGAGCGAGTTAACGAGGTTGCACGGTGACTCGGTTTTGAGAAAACTACTGCGATGATTCTCTTGCAAAGCTTGCCGGTAAGCTTCCGAGTATTGGGCAATATTGCTCAGACCGAACTTCTCCATGAGATCGCCCACCAAACTGGCCGGTTTCTCCACCCGGCCGCTGCTCTCCTCGCCGCTCTGTCCTTGAGTGGTGCTCAGATCTTCCGGTGTATTTTCTTCCACATCCTCCCGCTCGGCCTTCTGCTCGTTCTCCTCCATCTCATCCAGATCCATGTTTCATCGCAGCTAGACCCGTCATCCGGCACCGTTTCGACGCTGCCCTGAGGACTGGCGGCCGAGTTTAAATGCTCCTGATGCTCCTTTCTCATATGCTTCCTCAACTCGGTAAAGTTCGCCACCTCAATCTCGCATACTTCGCATCTCGTTGGCGTACTTTGGCCATCCTGCGTGCTTTCTTGTTGCTGATATTGTCTCTCCTTATCCCGATGACTACGACGATGGACAATCAAGTTTGATTGGAAACGAAACTTCTTGTCGCAGACCTCGCATGTGTATACCGTCTCTGACGAAGAATCGGTAATGATCGGCGTTGAAGCTACCGGTGGGCTCGTTTTCTCACTGTCGGTCGAATTATTGTTGTTGTGATGGCCCACTGGGCTCTGACTATAACAGGGCGGCGAATTTTCTTTTTGATGACTGCCGTGAGTTAAATTTGCGGGATTTATCGATGCCGGACTAGGTGGTTCCACGGACTGCGAATGAGACTGCGACTGTGGTTGCTGCGACTGTTGCTGCTGCTGTTGCTGCTGTTGTTGTTGTTGTTGTTGTTGTTGTTGCTGCTGAACTCCACTGGCGACGGGGACTGGCGGTACCGATGGTACCGGTGGAGGAGGAGGGTTTGTCGTGGGATTACCGCTAGGTGTTGGTGGAGCCGCGCCTAAGGACGGATTAGCGAGGCTCCTTAGGCGCGCTGAGTAAAAATCCAGGTTCGCTTCAAGTGGTGGTGGATGTGCTTGGCCCGCGAGGCCGCGACCGTGTGACAATTCGGCTAAATTTGCTAGGTTCCGGGCGTTGTTTAGAGAATCCAATGAGCTGCGCACAAGTGGATCCCCCAGATTCAAACCGTCCATACCGCGAAGCGGGTCGCCCAAATTCTGTAGATTCCGCGTGGCCGTCTGCAGCTCCTGCAGACCTCTGTATCCCGCCAGAGGGTTCAAGGTAAGAAAGTCAGGCCTAAACATAGGTGGAAAGCTTCGCTCCAAGTGTTGGGGTAGCCTCAAAAAGCTGTGGAGAGGATCGCCCACCAGAGACGAGGTCTGGAGCTGCTGTCGACTACCGCTACTGCCGCTCGTATTCGTCCCGCCGGAAGAATTCGCCGCCGAGGAACTTCCAGTGGACTTGCCGCTTAGATTTAGATGATTTGGCGGACTGAGATGATGCGCGTGCGTCGGCGTAGGCGTTGGTGGACTAGGCGCCGGAGTGTTCGACGACGAGTTCGTCGACGAGGAGGAGGAGCAGTAAAGGCGGGCGCCGTGCATGCTCTGTACATGCTGAAGAAGCTCCCACGCTGAGCACAGCCGCCGGGAACACTGCGAGCACTGAAGCCACCTTGGTTCTGAAACAAATGCATCACGACATCACGCTAGTTAAGAATCATAGTTTATCGCCTTTGCAAAGAAAAATTTCGCATTTGATTTAGCATTTGAGAAAATTTAAATGTAGCAAATTCTATTAAACTTAATCGTAAATTTAACTCTTTTATATCTTCAAATATTCTTTGCATTAACATTTAATAATACAATATATATATACAACTCTTTTAAATATTTCTAAAATTATTTTTATAAAAAACGGTCGATGTTATTGAGATGAAACATCGGAGTTCTTTTGATTTAAATGTTCCGCACACGTAATGTATTACGTAACTATTTTGAAAATTGAAGTTTAAAAATGTTTGTCAAAAAAAATCGGAGAGGATTATATTGACGAGGTTAATGTAACCTGACAGATTATAGTCACGAATAAGATGATTACAAAGCCCTAGATATATCGTAATAATCTGCCGGCAGGATTGGAAGCTTCACGGTAATTTCGCGAGCACATGACGGCAACTCGTAAAACACGCACATACACACAACATGTGCGCGTACATGCCCCGAAGCCACGCTATCAATTTTCGAACCACCCTTAATTTCGCGGAATCGGGACAGAGATCGGACCCGGCCGATTGAATTCGGAATTCAAACGGCGCGTCTGTGTCAAATTGCGGTTCGGGCTGGCGAGTTGCGGGGGGGTTTAAAAATAATATCCTCGTCGAACGGCGATCGTCGGGGAGCGCGGGAGGGGATCGTGCTGGGCCGACGGGGGTTGGTTACTACGGCATACCGCTGAAACTGACCCTTAACGACTTCTCGACCCTCCTTCCCCATGGCGCGCGCGAAAGCTTATGATGCGAGAGGGACGGGTTTTGAATTTCAATGTTTTTAATCCGGAATATCAGATTTTCGGCCATTTTTCACGCTCCGTGTAGCACAGTAGACGCCCATCGCGCGAGTCTGCGGGATTTTATTAATTCGACGTCGCCTCAGTGGCGAGAAGTGAGAGGACTGTTGAAAAAGGGGAAAGATGGGCCAAAGATGGGCACGCACCATGTGCTTAAGGGCGACCCTTACTTTGCGAGTAAAAGCATCGCGAAACATTACCCGAGCGGCATATTTTCTTGGACCGTTAATACCGGATGTTAGGGACCGAGGAGAAGATTTAAATTTATTCCTTGAGAAATACTAGGAAAGCGCTTAAGATTCAATTAATCATTTTTACGGAAGCGAATTCTCCTATGTGTGTTACTTCTTAATTCAATTATCTCATTCTTTTCAAAATTTTTAGATAAAATTTTTCTAACGTCATGAAATAGAAAACAATCTTTTAACTCGGGAGCGCAACCTTTACCAGAAACATATAATTTTTAAACCGTTTTAATATTGAAAAAAGAAACATTTCGAATACATTTCGAAAACTCCTTCCTTCAAATACTACGACATTGTTTCTCTTTTAATTCGGTAAAATCAGATTTGTCGAAATTTAAGAAATGCGAGTATCCCGCACAGACGAATAAATACGCACGCACTATTATTCAAGAAGAAACTTCTTAGACGAGATAAATACGAGTGCGTTGTAGCGGGCAGGGGTACACTTCTTCTTGTAAGAGATTAAAAAGTTCAGGACTCGCCTTCTCCTCCCCATTGTACCTCTCTGTCCCGTGATACTTGGAACGGGAAGGAAAGTCAGCTGGAGACAAAAGGCTGCAGCAAAATAAAGTGGTCCTAATTAAATGGCCGTTCGGGATAAGGAAGGATCTTTGTTAAGAATAAAGCTTCAGGATCGTCTTAAAGCCGAACAGTTGCCAGATTGAGGCATATTTTTAAGGCATAATACACTTGGAGACTTCTTGGTCTACATTAAACAAAAATTATTTTTATTTAGTATAGATAATAATATTCATTAACGTAGTCTAAATATCTAGCTACCCATTTTTAATGATGCTACATATATAAAAATATGCGGCAGCTTTCTGAATTTTCTTCCCTCGCTGTTTCGTATACGATTATAATAATTTTACATTGACGTGAAATTACTCAGAGCAATTCGTAGAAACGCGTGGCTTTGGGAGATCGGATCTAACGATGAGCAGGATGTGAAGACAATGAATCTTAAATAAAATTAGGAACAACTCGACGCCGTCAACGGATAAGTGATAATTTACCTCGCGACAATACACAATAGAACACATTTCGTTGTATGTAACAAGGTGCTAAGTAGAATAACGAGCCCGACAGTGGGCGAAGGACTTTCTTTCTTCGCCGCTGACCTTTCACCAGGATTACGCTTGCAGCGTTTACGCGTCGCAGCAAGCGTGGAATGAGAGACGTTCGTCGCAATCTCATCTCATTGACGCGCACGATTTTTCGATTGACAGAAAGAAGAAGAGGAGAAAGTTGCAGAGGAACGTGGAAGACACACGGAGGAAAGCACAGCGAAGAAATAGGCAAGACATTCTCGGGGATTTCATGACTTGTGCTAAAAGTTTGCTCGATGAGAAAAGTGTATATAAAAAAGCATAAAACTAATTTTAATTATAAAATTGTACTTCTAACAATTTCACTCTAACTTTGTTCTCCAAGAATTATTCAATTAAACTATACTTTTATAAAAGTTTCATAACGTCTATGTAATAATTGAGATTTCAAGTTGTCTCAATTTAATTTTTCTTAAAACATTTATTATACTTACATTTGATATCGTCTATTTATATATTTCTTTTAAATAAATAATATTTATAGTTTTTAATATTTATATGTTTTCGTAAATATTTTAATAAAAATTTAATAAAAAATGATATCCTAACGAAATTAAACTTGTATGTTAAATAAATTTGTATTGAACTATAGAATTTAAACTGTTTTGCTCTTTCCTAAAATTAATTTAATTTATTCGTGTAATTATATAATTCTGAATCAAATTGAAACCTAAAAGAACAACGGAATTTCCGTAGTAAGTATCAAGGAAAAGACCAGCGGTTCAGATTGAACAAAAACTTTTCAGACTTCAAAATTTTCCCAAGTCGTCTCCAGTCTGGTCTTTCGACCAGACGAACATAGAGTACAAATTGGCTCGAGGTTTCGGCTCTAGACAGAAATTAAAGCTCGTATAAGGAAGAGGAAAGAATATCACGAAAGATAGCAAGAATAAGACAGTCAAGTCATCCCTGAAACAGACAAGTGATGAGGAGCGAAAATTCGATGTACTGTTTCATACTTCAAGCGCTCACCACGTTTTCCTCACCCTCGTGAGCAGCCAACCAGCTCCTTTTTTTCCCCGGAAGTCAAAAATATTGCCGACTTCCCCAGGGAGAGAAAATGCCGGCGGGAAAGCGCGAGAGATAAGCAAGTGCTCGAGCATAATAAAGGTGTATCGATTCACGGCTCGTCGCTTTTCATATGCAAACCTCGCGGGTGGCCATCCGTTAGGATTATTTCTTTAGATTTTCCTGGCCGTGCGAAATGGCTGGCTAGCTAACTGCAATTCGAAAAATGCGGACACGCATTGTTGCTTCATTGATTATTATTCTTTCGAAGAATACGGTATATGTTGTATAACAAATGTGTCAGCATGATATCGTACAGTTTTATATCTAATCTCTTTTGAAAGAAAGTAGTTTAATTTATATGAAAAGAATAGAAGAGAATAGATATAGTTGAAATAAAAGTTAAGGTAAGTTACCTCTACACAATTCTAATATTTTTTAAAACAAACAACAATATTAATAAACGAGTTTAGTGATCGAAAAAGAACTTGAAACTCAAAAGGGGCAGTAGAATCAAATGAACGATATGTCTGTACACATGAGATTTGGCCCTCTGGCGATAGTGACCGACCGATTTTCTCCAGAAATTGCCCGGCAAATTGGCCTATGCGACGTTTACGGGCAAATCGTTTGGAACGCTATTGTTTAACAACGATTTGAGTCCCGGTCATCCTGCGAATTCTTCCTTTCAACCCTTTTACGGGAGACTTAACACAAAGCCATCTCCCTCCCACCAATACTTCTTCCAAAATACATTTCTGTAAACTTTCTAAATTTGCTTTCGTAATATTAAAATACAAATGTGAACAAGTGAATTATTTTTTTGTTTGCAAAATTTGCAAATAAAAGACAAAACGAATAATTTTCATGCGGTAACTAATTATGATCAAATAAACTGATGATTGCGTTAAAAGAGATAATCTAGAGGTATATTTCAATTTTAATTTAATAAAGATCGCTTAAATTATAATTAAATGGTTATTATACATTTTAAATTACCCCGCAATAACGGGATTAAAATTTTCTTTGTAATGTTAATGCCCGAAAAATTTGTTCACAGGCTTAAAAGGAGAGCTTAAAATTATTTGCGATCACACATATAATATTGTAAGTGTTATGCTTGATTTTGCGCATACGAGCGAATTTTAATCGTGTAAGGGACATTGCGTCGCGCTCTCGGAAATCTTTTTGGACGGGACACATCTGCCGTTCAATGACGTCATGATACATACACGTACATGCGCATACAACAAATATCACATAAAGGCCTTTAATCCGGAATGGCGTGTGACAATATTAAAATATCGATTAGCTAACGTATGCGATGTATGCACTTTGTTGTCGATACAAGGGCTGCACTTAAAAGGGACAACGCACAGCGGATCATGTCCACGTGGGTAGTTTGCGGGTGATTTTAATCATTTTACTGGACCCATTAATTAAATAACCAGTTGGGATAAATATTACACGCTAACGAGAAATGTATCAACATGTATCAAAAAGAATTAATAGTAAATGTATGTGTGTGTGTGTGTGTGTGTGTGTGTGTGTGTGTGTGTGTGTGTGTGTGTGTGTGTGTGTGTGTGTGT